GGCAGAGCCCTCCACGTCCGGCAGGGACGAGGGCTGCCCGTTGGTGTCGATGTAGATGCTGGGGTGGCTCACGCCAGGCTGCAGGTGCATGAAGGACTGCTTGGTCGCACCGGGGAAGAACAGATCTGCAGGACACAGAGAATCCGGCCTCAGCCACCGTGGCGACGGCACCGGCGGCTCAGTGCCCCTATGGAAGGGTGGCCGGGGCTCCCTAGGAGAAGGGTCCCACGGGACTCTGCAGGGGAGCGATGCTGCGTGAGGGGGACATGGTCGCACAGAGGCGCAGAGGCTCCTCCTGCAAGGCTGGCCCGCCTGATCGCTCACCCTCATCCCCCAGGACCATCCTGAACCCGCCCAGCCCCGAGGGGGTTGGCGTCCCCTAAATGTCCCATAAGGACTTCTTCCTCCAGCCCAGAGCTTTTCTGCTCTGCAGCAAGTCAGGCATCTGGTTCAGAGCCAGCCCGAGCCCAAAACAAGACCCATGCCACCCACCCGTCCTCAGTGAAACGGGCCGAGCTGAAATCAAAGAGCAGAGGAAGGAGCAGGAACAACTAACCCTGCTCTCCTCTGGGGACACAAAGACGACAGACACGCTCCCTCTGTGGAAAGGAAAGGGGGGTATTTGCCTCCTGGTGGGTAACAAAGCCCAGCGGGGGTGTACCCGCAGGCCCAGCCCAGCACTGCTGCAAGACCAATGTCAGGTCTTTTGCCAACATCTTCCCCCCCCGAGCATCTCTTGGGCATTTAAGGCAAACAGGCATCGCCCAAGAGCAGGACCAGCAAGAGGGCTCTGCAGGAGGCCGAAGCACAGGTTCGCTCTGTAGGGGTCAAAGGCACAGCCCCATCGAGAAGGCACAGCCCACCCAGGGACGCAGCGGCTCCCCCGGCCATGCACGGCACCCGGGTGTGAAACATCCCAGTGTGATTTTGTGCTGAAGCAGCTGCTCCCGCTCCCTCTGACCTCAGCTAAGCAGGGGGGACGGTGACCCTGAAAGGAATGGAGGAAATAAAATCCCATCCCGTCTTTCACCAGCTGCCTTTAGACAGTATCCAGCAAGGCCAGGCACTGGATCAAATTAAAGAAAGGAAAAAAAACCAAACAAACCAGAAAGACCCACTCCCACAAAGTTTGAGGTGTTCCTGTTGATCCCAGGTTATTTCCACGGTGGATTTTTAATTCCAGCGCACGTAGTTTCCAACCCTGGTGGTTTGCTACTCAGATACAACAGGACCGTGGCCCTGCCGGATGCTGTAATCCCGACACAAACTGTGTACGAGAGCAAAACCCCAAAGTCTCCTTCCAGGATCCACGCCGTGCCAGCTAGCACAGAATGCAAACACTCAGCAGACCCCGGAGCTCGGGGAGGACCGCGGCCTGGTGACGTGACCAGGCCGGACATCGCTTGGAGAGCGCAGGCAGGGACACGCAGCATGGGACTCTGCTACTCCAACTCTCCCAGAGAACCACCACGACTGACCTGGGTCCAAGATGATTTCAGGTTCCGAGTCGTGGCTGGCCTGCAAGAAGGTGGAAGCCACCATCTTCTCCAGGGGCGTGAGGCGCGGCTTGTGGAGCGGCCCGCCGGCGCGGTTCATGGGCAGGTGCTTCTTGGAGGTGATCTTTTTCTTGACGTCCAACCGCAGGTCGCGCCACTTGTGCTTGAGGTCGTCGATGGAGCGTTCGGTGTAGCCCAGGAAGTTGACGCGGCTTTGGATTTGGGTCCAGAGCTGCTTCCGCCGCACGGGGTGAGCCCGCAGGGCTTCAGACCCATACAGGGCGCTGAAATGCCGGACCACATTCCAGACCAGCGTCTCAGTCTCGTCATTGGAGAAGTTGGCCTTCCTCTTCCGGCCAGACGCTGGCATCGCCTGCGAGGCTGCGGCAGAGGTGGAAGGGGCACAATTGAACCTCGGTCCCCACTCCTCTCTGTCAGCTCCTGGGGGGAACATGGGTCTGCGGGAGCCCGAGGGAGCCGCGGAGGAGGGAGCCGAAGCAAGAGCCCCCGAGGCATCCATGGCAGGGGAGGCTTGGGCCGGGGAGGATCTAAAGAGCCGCTTCGGCACACCACGCGGCAGGGGGGCACCTCATCCCCTCGCCCCGGCTCGAGAGCACCTGGGAGGGGAGAAAAGGAAAGGGCAGCGGTGGGTGGCGGCAGTGCGGGGTGATGCCGGGCACCTCTGGTCCAGTCTGCCCCATGCCCCCGGCTGCTCCCTGCCACCCCCCAGCCCCATCATCCACTGACCAGTCCAGGGGCCGAATCCTGCCCGTCCAATTTGTTGGCACGGGATGGGCATGGTGGTGGCTGTAGGGAATGTCCTCAGTGGTGCTGGGGGCAGTGGTGGCCAAAAACTCCCAAACTGGCAAGAATGGTGCCATGGGGCCGGGGCTCCGGGCATGACCTGGCGGGGGGGGGACCATGGACCAACAACTTCAGGGCTACGGCCATCGCCCCTGGGCCACAGTGAGCACCACAGCGAGGGCCCCGGCCATGGCCAGCACCTCAGGTCCACAGCAAGGACCTCAGTGACGGCAAGCACCTCAGCATCATAGCAAGAGCCACAGCTATGGTGAAAGCACCAGGGCTGCAGCACAAGGCCTCAGGGCCACACTGAAGGCCTTGGCCGTGGTGAACACTTCAGGTTCCCAGCCAGGGCCTGAAGGCCACAGCACAGACCTTGGCCACAGCACACGTTGTGGGGCCGTGGCAAAGGCCTTGGCCATGGTGAGCATCTCAAGGCTATGGCGGAGACCCTGGCCATGATGCAGGCCTTGGCAAGGGTCTTGGCCACAGTGAGACTCTTGGGGCCCCAGTGAGCACCTTTGCCATGGCATGTGCCTCAAGGCCATGGCGAAGACCTTAGAGAAGACCTTGGCCATGGTGAGCGTCACAAGCTCCCAGTGAGAGCCTTGGGCTCGTGGTGAAGACCATGGCCATGGCAAGTGCTTCAAGGCTGTGACAAAGTCCCTGGCAAAGGCCTCGGCCATGGTGAACACTCAAGCTCCCATTGAGGGCCTTGGAACCATGGCAAAGACTGTGGCAAGTGCTTCAAGGCAATGGCAAAGGCCTTCGTCATGGTGAACACCTCAGGCTCCCAGTGAGGCTGTCAGGGCCATGGTGAAGACCATGGCCATGGCGAGCGCTTCAAGGCCGTGGCGAAAGCCTTGGCCATGCTGAACACCTAAAGCACTCACAAAGGCCTTCAGGCCACAGCAAAGACCAAGACCATGGCAAGTGCTTCAAGGCCATGGCGAAGACCTTGGCCACGGTGAACACATCAAGGTCCCAAGAAGGGCCTTAGGGCCACGGCGAAGGCCTTGGCCATGGGAAACACCTCAAGATACCAATAAGAGCCTTAGGGCTATGGCGAACACCTTGGCGAAGGCCTTGGCCAAGGTCCCGGTGAGCGCCTCTGGGCCACGGCGAACGCCTTGGCCCCAGCAAGGACCTCAAGGCCCCGGCAAATCCCCCGGCCACGGTGAGCTCCCGAGGGCCACGTCGTGGACCCCGGCGAGGCTCTCACCCAGGGCGCAGGCCTTGGCCCCGCCGGCCCCCTCAGCCCCAAAGCACCATGGCAGAGCCCTCCACTGCCCTCAGCATCCCCGGGCCCCTCCGAGACCCCTCCGGCGACCACCTCAGACCC